GGGATTACAGGTAACTGCCATCATGCCCTGCTAAGTTTTGTATTTTTAGTAGAGACGGGGTTTCACCATGCTGGCCAAGCTGCTCTCGAACTCCCGACCTCAGGCAATCCACCCACCTTGGCCTCCCAAAGTACTGGGATTACAGGCAGGAGCCACTGCGCCCGGCCTAAAATGGGAAATACTTTTTAAGTTATTCATAAGCGGTATATTCACCAGTGTGGCACTCATGGTTTTTAAATAAGATTAGTATTATCTGTTTATAATGCCTGTTAATAAAATAATTTACAGTTTGGTAAAATTGCTGCTAAACAATCATTGGATCACAGTCCTCATCAAACAAACCCATCCATAAAAAAAAAAAAAAAAAATATGAGTGAGAGCTTGATGTTTCACATAAGCCATTTACTAAAGAAGTAGAAATGTTTTCCTTTGGTTTTACCCTGAGTTTAGCTATCCTAAAAAATTCTATAGTACATAGTTTTATCTTACCTCTTAACTTTCTCCAAATGAGATGAAAGTGTTTTAAAATTCTGTTTACAGTTTTTGATATGCATATATAATTATGTGTACATCTATAAGCAGGTTCTCCAGGTGGCCTGGAGAACTGGCTCCACACACACAAGGGCAAACAATGACACTGCCTTTTCTCTGCAGGCATTTCTGGTAGAGGTCACAGGTAAAGTGTACTACTGGATCGGTCTCACTGACAGGGGCACAGAGGGCTCCTGGTGCTGGACAGACAGGACACCATTCAACGTCGCCCAGAACAAAACGTGAGTCTAGCCACCATCTGGCACTGTCCTGGGCACTGTCTTTGGTGGGCCTGGCTACACACTGTGTGTCCCTTCCCAGTAAGTGGTAGTGTTGTGTGTATATGTGTGTGTGATGTGTATGTGGTGTATGTGTGGTGTGTGTGCCATGTATGTGGCATGTGTAATGCATGTGGTGTGCGAGGTGTGTGTGTGTTATGTATGTGATGTGTGTGTGTTTGGACACACAGGCATGGTCATCGCTCTTACCTGGACTCCTACACAGAGGGTCATTAGGAAAGGACAGGTCCTGAGGCTGGCATGCAGCCAATGAGTGGGTCTTTCTGTTTTTTTCTCCCTACTCTGCTCAGGCCTGGTTCCAAGGGATCCTGCCCCCTCAGAAGACATATTAGTGTGAATTCTGGGGTGGGAGCTTGCAGCTTCATAGACACCCCTCCCTGTCCCTGGATCCTCAGTAACTAACGGCAACCTGAGCACAGACACCCTCAGGGTGCTCCTTCTCCCAGCCCTGTCCCCATCCTAGGGCCACTAGCGGATGAAGGACCCATGTCATGTCAGTTCCCTAGACCCATCACACGTCAGCAAAAATTAGCAGGGTGTGGTGGCTGCACCGTAATCCCAGCTACCTGGGAGGCTGAGACACGAGAATCACTTGAACCTGGGAGGGGGTTACTGCAGTGAGCCGAGATTACGCCACTGCACTCCAGCCTGGGTGACAGAGTGAGACGCTGTCTCAAAAAATAAACAAAACAAAAACAAAAACAAAAAAAACCCAGAAAACAAAACAAAACAAAAACAACAACAAAAAACCCTGTTTAGGAAGATAGCTTTTCTCTTGCATGATTTTCTGGAAACTTGTCTACTGCCTCTTGGTTGACAGAAGCTGCTTCTCCTGTCACATGCACATTTTAAAAGCCACACCTCTTTCTGAAACTATCAAACCATCCTTTCCTGGCAATACATTCTCCTGCTTTAGATTCTTTACCTTCCTTTTTTTTTGAGTTGTCATTAATGGATTTTGCTTTTTCTCAAATGATATTCAAGTCTGTAGGTATGCCTTTCTTATAGCAATCCTGCACCCACATAAAAACTGCATTTTTCAGTAAGAGATTAAAAAGATATTTTGCAAAAAGTACAAGGTTTTTGTACCTGCTGGTGTAGCTACAGTGATGGCTTCACAAATTTCCTTTTCTTTATTTTACAGTTGTCCTTTGCAGGATTCAGTTGTCTTGAGATGGCAGACAACCACAGCTGCAGACCTTTATAAATGGCACATATCAAGCAATTCAACTTTTTCCGATAATAAATGTCAGAACATTTCTCTGCTTTTTGGAAGTACTTCCAAACTTATTAGTGACATCTCATATGCATCCCATGATGTTATTCAAGGTTTATGATATTGCACTGAAAATGAAAAATACATGAGAACTAAATCAGTTTTTACTGCCATATGCAATTTACTGGAGTGAGGAACTGCTCACGGGAGACGATTAGCATCACATAGTGTTTTAAGTGGATACTTAAACACTTGAGCTCACCGTGGTAGCAACAGGAGGTGACTACAAAATTATCACAATAGTACAGTATGTGCCACAGTTAATTTACGCAGTTTTCATTTAATATTGCATCTTGAAGTTTGTTTACATTTCTCTTAACTGCAAATGGCACCGTGTATGGACTGTAAGTGTTGATGTGCATATGTTTTGATAAATGTTAATTTCTTATAATAGATTTGTATATAGTTTATGTTAGTGAATGATAAAATTGATTTAGCATCTACATATATTTTATGCATTCATGACAGACCTAACTTTTTCTTATTTTTTAAAAAATATTTCAGCCAGGTGTGGTGGCTCATGCCTGTAATCCCAGCACTTTGAGATGCCAAGGCAGGAGGGCCACCTGAGGTCAGGAGTTCGAGACCAGCCTGGTCAACACAGTGAAACCCCATCTCTACTAAAAATACAAAAATTAACCAGGGTTGGTGGCAGGCCCTTGTAGTCCCAGCTACTTGGGAGTCTAAGGCAGGAAAATCGCTTGAACTTGAGAGGCAGACATTGCAGTGAGCTGAGATCATGCCATTGTACTCCAGCCTGGGCGACAGAGTGAGACTTTGTTTCAAAAAATAAATAAAATAAAAAATATTTCTAGGCACCTGGGCATGGTGGCTCACTCCTGTAATCCCAGCACTTTGGGAGGCTGAGGCAGGCAGATCACTTGAGGTCAGGAGTTTGAAACCAGCCTGACCAACATGGCAAAACTTCATCTCTACTAAAAATAAAAAATAAAAAATTAGCCAGGGGTGGTGGTGCATGCCCGTAATCCCAGTTACTTGGGAGGCTGAGGCATGAGAATTGCTTGACCCTGGGGTGGCAGAGGCTGCAGTGAGCCAAGATCATGCCACTGCACTCCAGCCTGGGCAATAGAGCAAGACTCCATCTAAAAAAATATTTCTAGGCTACATGGTTCATCTGCAAGTTTTTTTATATCGTGGCAAATCTCCAAAAAATTTTTCAAAATATTTATTGAAAAAAATCCACATACAAGTGGACCATGCTGTTCACACTTACGTTGCTCATGGGTCAATTGCACGTACAAATGTTTGTTTGTATATATATTTTTCTATATATGTTTTTTTATTCTTTATTTTAGGGTTTTCCTAGCTTTGTGTCATCAGGAGGAAGTATTAAATAATGTGGCCTGCTTTCACTACTCACAATAGAAAAGACTTGGAACCAACTCAAATGTCCATCAAAGATAGACTGGATTAAGAAAATGTGGCACGGCTGGGCGCAGTGGCTCACGCCTGTAATCCCAGCACGTTGGGAGGCCGAGGCGGGCAGATCACGAGGTCAGGAGATCGAGACCATCCAGGCTAACACAGTGAAACTCCGTCTCTACTAAAAAAAATACAAAAAAGTTAGCCAGGCGTGGTGGCAGGCGCCTGTAGTCCCAGCTACTCAGGAGGCTGAGGCAGGAGAATGGCATGAACCCGGGAGGCGGAGCTTGCAATGAGCCGAGATCGCGCCACTGCACTCCAGCCTGGGTGACAGAGCGAGAATGCATTTGAAAAAAAAAGCACATATATGCCATGGAATACTATGCAGCCATAAAAAAGGATGAGTTCACGTCCTTTGCAGGGAAATGGATGAAGCTGGAAACCATAATTATAAGCAAACTAACACAAGGACAGAACACCAAACACCACATGTTCTCACTCATAAGTGTGAGCTGAACAAGGAGAACACATGGACAGAGGGTGGGGAACATCACACACCAGAGCCTGTTGTGGGGTGGGGGGTTGGGGGAGGGATAACATTAGGAGAAGTACCTAATGTAAATGACGAGTTGATGGGTGCAGCACAGCAACATGGCACGTGTATACCCATGTAACAAACCTGAACTTTGTGCACATGTACCCTAGAACTTAAAGTATAATAATAATAATAATAACATGGCTTACTTTTTTGGAATTTCCTGAGATTCTCTTTGTGTCCTAGTATATGTTCACTCTTTATAAATGTTCTAGAGATATATTTATTAGATTAAGCTTATAATTTTCATTATGCAAACATTTTACAGTCTCATTTATGTTTTGTCTACCCAATCAATTTCTCTGAGAGGATTTTTTAAAACTGTCTCATGTTTATCATTTTGTCACATTTTCCTTTTATTTCTAAGAGCCTTATATATATATATATTTCAGTTACCTTCTTTTCCAATCCAAACTGTATCCAGCTTTATTAAAGATACTTTCCATAAACGATCATGGTATTTCAGGCAGGACATGGGCAGACAATTATTAACAGTATACAACAACTTTCAAACTCCCTTCTTCAATGGACTACCAAAACTCAGAAAGCCACTATAAAACACAATGAAGTTTTCATCTGATGCTCTGAAAAGGGGAAGTTTAGAGTGAGAGTTGACATTTCACATGTAGCATGTTGTTTAATAACTTTGCACGAGCCGACCCTGACTTTCAGGAAGTGAAATGAAAATGGCAGAATGTATCTGAAGAGCCACAATCTAGCAACGGAACCACTGCTCTTTAGACAGGTGTCCTCTCAGTGGCATCCCTGGAAAGTCCAGATTGCCTGACACACTGGTAACAAATGACTGGGGATCAGGTCCCAACAGATGTCTGGGCTTAAGAGAGTTAAGTCTATGCTGAAAGATGGGCAGGGAGAAGAGGACATAAAAAGGACTTGGTTTTTCCATACCCTAAGGCTTTTGTGCCAAGGTGGTCATGTGTATGAAAGTCAGGGAATCCCTCCTGCTGGGAGCCAAGAGGAAGTCTCCCAAAACCAGAAGGGAAACGTGTTTTCCCCACATCACTCCAGCTTTGGAGACATTCTATTAGTGACATATGCCCCTTCCCCAAAAAACAACAATGAAGTGTTCTGTATGCTAACAACATAGCTGGAAAAAAAAAAAAGTAAAACAAAATTCTGCATTTTTATAAAACTTGATAAAAAAGAGTATTTCAAACTGTACAGTCACCAGAAGTACACAGTTATCAAAAATGCACACACTTCACTTGGCCTCTCCAGCACCTTCAGCTTTCCTGACCTGGTCTGTTTTGGCATCTCCGTTTTCTGCAGGATTATTTCCCTCCTTGCCAGCATCAGCTTTTCCCTTTTTCCCTTTGGGTACCTTCTCTCCCTTCTTGGCAGGGGCCTTTTTAGGCCTGGGTTCTGGCTTTGGAGGAGCAGGTTTAGCAGACAACCTCGTGGATCTTCTCTGTGGTGTGTCCTTCACCTTGGCTTTATCTCCTTTAGCATCCCCTTCGGTCTTCTTCTTGGGCATGGTGGTGGCAGTGACAGCAGCGGGACTTAGACACTGGGCCCGGGATGCAGCCACAAGTGGGCTTTGATCGGTCGGGGGGTCATTCTCGCCTCTTCCTACATTTCAGTTACTTTGTTTAATGTCTAAAGATTCATAACTAACTCCCCCTCATTGGCCCCCACTGTTTTTTGAGACTGGGTCTTGCTCTGTCAACCAGGCTGCAGTGCAGTGGTGAGATCTTGACTCACTGCAGCCTTGACCTCTCAGTATATGTGATCCTCCCACCTCAGCCTTCCAAGTTGCTAGGACCACAGGCACATGCCACCACACCTAGCTAATTTTATTTATTTTTTGTAGAGATGAGGTCTCACCATGTTGCCCAGGCTGGTCTCAAACTCCTGGGTTCAAGCAATCCTCTTGCCTTGGCCTCCCAAAATGCTGGGATTACAGGCATGAGTCACTGTGCCTGGCCCAAGATCCATTAACTATCATTTGTTTGTTTTTGTTTTTGTTTTTGTTTTTGTTTTTGTTTTGTTTTGTTTTTTGAGATGGAGTCTTTCTCTCTCACCCAGGCTGGAGTACAGTGGTATGATCTCTGCTCACTGTAACCTCTGCCTCCTGGGTTCAAGCGATTCTCCTGCCTCAGCCTCCCGAGTAGCTGGGATTACAGGCATGCACCACCATGCCTGGCTAATTTTTGTACTTTTACTAGAGACAAGGTTTCACCATGTTGGCCAGGCTGGTCTCAAACTCCTGACCTCAACTGAACCGCCCGCCTCAGCCTCCCGAAGTGCTGGGATTATGGGCCCAGCACTAGGATCCATTAACTCTGAAATCTACTTCAGGAATTTTACTTTATATCAATAATTATTCCTTCCAGGAACGTTCATTGCACGTCTACTATTGTACCAAGCACTATTGTAGATTTTAGGGGTTCAACAGTGAACCAAACAGATAAAAATCCCAGCCCTCATGAGGCTAGCATTCTAGTAGGGAGCAGAGGTAGTTAGCACATTCAGCCCCTTCTCACAGCCCCAGGAAGGAGTTCTGTGGAGAGGTGATGGTGTGGAGTAGCAAGGAGCTGTTCATAATCAATTCAGCCGATATCGCAGAACAGCAATGGGGCCCCACAGCCTAAAGGTAACAAAGAAGTGGCTGGACTAGGGCAGGTAAACAGGAAGGACTCCCTCCTGCCAACCCCTCAAGGTCAATTCTCATGTCCCTGATGTCCCCTTCTCTCCTTCAGGGGAGGTTCTGAAAACTGCAGTTTCCTCAAGAGAGAGGCAGAGGAATGAAGTTCTCCACAGACTGACTGGGACCATCTGGGGAGACAGAGTGCAGTCATCAGTTGCCCTTGGGGGAAGTGGCCAGCTTGTCTCGCTGGAGGGCCTGCCCGCCCTGCCTCCACTGCGGGAATTCTGTATACCTGCCACTCTCTGTGACCTTGGGTTGCTTTGGTGGCACTAGCAGGCTGTGACAGACAACTGCCACCACATGGGGTATGCTGTTGACACTCAGGTACCCACAGCCTTCTCTCCCAGAGATTTTTAGTCTTTGTGGGCATGTTGCTCACGTGGAGGCTGGGGTCCCACTCACTATGATTTAGGGGACAACCTGACTCTAGCATAAGTAGGAGAAGCTATAGAAATTACAGTTGTTACGAAATGACTCTCAGACCTGGTTTTCCGGGGGCAGGGAGAAGTTTCTCACATTCTGGAGGAAGATGTAACAGCATTTTGAGGATGAGGGATGTCACTGGTTTAGAGGAAAATCTACACTTGCTTAGTCAGTAATTTTGAGTGTCTATCAACAAATGCCCAGCTCTTGTCATGCACTAGATACATACAGCATTCACTGCTCTGACACATTAATTTGGGCCTGGGCCCAACCCTTCCTGTGTGCCTCCACCATGCTTCTCAGAAGGACCCTCTCTATTGTGTATTGCTCTCACTTATAAGAGCCAGTTATAAATTGTTACACCTTGCCAGTCAGCAATTCCTGCTGCAGCTTAGGCAACCAACTCCAAGGACCCCCCACCCCCAGTGAGAGCCCCAGGCCCCAGTGAGAATCATGGAAGAGTAAGTATGTCTTGGCTCCTCTTGGGTGGCCCGAGGGTCCATGTGCTTTAGGATAGCTGGAGGGTCCATGCCATCTGGCTTCTTCCTGAAGGACAGGGCCCCAAACAGCAGACTGTCCATAGTGCAACCCTGCCTCACTCCCCAAAGCAGCTGCATCTCACTGCCTCTTGAATCTCCCCAAAGCCCTGCTTTTGTTGCAATCTTTGACTTCTTAGACCTGACAAGTATTTTCTACTCTCCGCCATAGAGGTCCCAGGACTAGGATCCCAGGCCCTCTTCAAGGTGACCCCAGTGAACCTTTCATCACATTTCTGCCATGGGGTCAATGGAATTGAGCCGAATCCCTTAGTGTCTCCTCAACCAGCTCTGATTGTAGCTTCTGCACTGGTGCTCCAACCACCCCTTAGCCTGGGTCACTTAGGATTTGTCTGTATGGTAACCACATTTCTGGACTTTCTGTGTGGTTCATAAATCATGCTACCATTAACTAACAACATGATGGGAGTTAATGGAGGCAGGAGAGCTTGGTGGCTATAGACCCAGGCTGTAAGATCAAATAGTCTGGGTCCAATCCCATTTTCATCCCTTTCTAGCTCGGAAAGCTGGTTCATTGACTTTCGTGTTTCAGTTTCCTTTTCTGTGAAATGGAAGTAACTGCAGTACCTCCTTCATGGGGTGCTGTGAGAATTAGGAAAGTCAACGCATAGGATGAATTTAGGATAGTGCATGGGACACGGATCCCACCATGCAAGCATTAGTGGTGATTGTTTTGCTGATGGCCTACTTCACTCCTCACTTCACCTCTGAGGAAGGATCTATTAGAACCCTCACTTTACAAATGGGGAGATAAAGCCCAGAGAGTTTGAATGATTATGTGGTTTGGCTCTGTGTCTCCACCCAAATCTCATCTTGAATTGTATTCCCATAATTCCCACCTGTTGTGAGAGGGACCCGGTGGGAAATAATTTGAATCATACTGTTCTCTTGGTGGTGAATAAGTCTCATGAGATCTGATGGTTTTATCAGGGATTTCCACTTCTGCACCTCTACATTTTCTCTTGCCGCTGCCATGTAAGAAGAATCTTTCATCTCCTGCCATGATTCTGAGGTCTCTCCAGCCATGTGGAACTGTAAATTAAATTAAACCTCTTTTACTTCCCAGTCTTGGGTGCGTCTTGAAATGCAGCATGAAAATGGACTAATATAGTAAATTGGTACCAGGAGTAGGGTGTTGCTGAAAAGATATCTGAAAATGTGGAAGTGACTTTGTAACTAGCTAACAGACAGAGATTGGAAAAGCTTTGAGGGCTCAGAAGAAGACAGGAAAATGTGGGAAAGTTTCCAGCTTCCTAGAGACTTGTTGAATGGCTTTGAGAAAAATACTGATAATGATATGGACAATGAAATCCTGACTGAGATGGTCTCAGATGGAGATGAGGAACTTCTTGGGAACTGGAGCAAAGGTGAGTCTTGTTATGTTTTAGCAAAGAGACTAGTGGTATTTTGCCCCTGCCCCAGAAATTTATGGAACTTGGAACTTGAGAGAGATGATTTAGGGGTATCCGGTGGAAGGAATTTCTAAGCAAAACATTCAAGAGGTGACTTGGATGCTGTTAAAGGCATTCAGTTTTGGAAGGGAAGCAGAACATAAAAGTTCAGAAAATTTGCAGCCTGACAATGCAATAGAAAAGAAAATCCCATTTTCTGAGGAGAAATTCAAGCTGGCTGCAGATATTTTCATGAGTAATGAGGAGCCAAATGTTAATCCACAAGACAATGGGGAAAGTGTCACCAGGGCATGTCAGAGGCCTTTGTGGCAGCCTCTCCCATTACAGACCCAGAGGTCTAGCAGGAAAAAATGGTTTTGTGGGCAAGGCCCAGAGTACCCGTGCTGTGTGCAGCCTAGGGACTTGGTGCCCTGCTTCTCAGCTGCTCCAGCCATAGCTGAAAGGGGCCAACTTAGAGTTTGTGCAGTGGTTCCAGAGGGTGCAAGCCCCAAGCCTTGGCAGTTCCCACGTGGCATTGAGCCTGCAGGTGCACAGAAGTCAAGAATTGAGGTTTGGGAACCTCCGCCTAGATTTCAGAATATGTATGGATGCCTGGATGTCCAGGCAGAAGTTTGCTGCTGAGGCAGGGACCTCATGGAGAACCACTGCTAGGGCAGTGTAGAAGGGAAATTGGGGTTGGAGCTCCTGCACAGTCCATACTGGGGTGCCACCTAGTGGAGCTGTAAGAAGAGGGCCACCGTCCTCCAGACCCCAGAATGGTAGATCCACCTACACCTTGCACTGTGTGCCTGGAAAAGTCTCATTCAATGCCAGCCTGTGAAAGCAGCCAGGAGGGAGGCTGTACCCTGCAAAGCCACAGGGGTGGAGCTACCCAAGATTATGGGAACCCACCTCTTGCATCAGCATGACCTAGATATGAGACCTGGAGTCAAAGGAGATAATTTTGGAGCTTTAAAATTTGACTGACCTGCTGAATTTTGGACTTGCATGGGCCCTGTAACCCCTTTGTTTTGGCCAATTTCTCCCGTTTGGAATGGCTGTATTTACCCAATACCTGCACCCTCATTGTATCTAGAAAGTAATTAGCTTGCTTTTGATTTTACAGACTCATACACAGAAGGGACTTGCCTTGTCTCAAATGAGACTTTGAACTGTGGAATTTTGGGTTAATCCTAAAATGAGTTAAAACTTTGGGGGACTGTTGGGAAGGCATGATTGGTTTTGAAATGTGAGGACATGAGATTTGGAGGGGGCAGGGATGGAATGATATAGTTTGTCTCTGTGTCCTCACTCCAATCTCATCTTGAATTGTACTCCCATAATTCCCACGTGTTGTGGGAGGGACTCAGTGGGAGATAATTTGAATTATGGGGGTGGTTTCCCCATACTGTTCTTGTGGTAGTGAATAAGTCTCACAAGATCCGATGGCTTTATCAGGGGTTTCTGCTTTTGCATTTCCTCATTTCTCTTGCCACTGCCATGTAAGAAGTGCCTTTGGTCTCCCACCATGATTCTGAGGCCTCCCAACCATGTGGAACTGTAAATCCAATTAAACCTCTTTTTCTTCCCAGTC